CACAATTGTGGGCCTCTCCTTGTGGGAAGAAACTTCTGGTCTTGGCCCTGGATTGAGGAAGGTGGGTCTGTGCCCGGCCGTCACTGACCAGCGGGTGGAGGCAGCGGACTCCACTCAGACTCTTCCCTTCCTCGGGGACCAGGACTCACCAGAGGAGAGAAGCCTCTGGAAGCCAGGCCCTGAGTGAAGGGAAGGGAAGAAGACACGGGTTTCCTCGGGGACATGCATCTAGTCCCAGGGACTCGCTCCCCTTTGGGAATAAGCCCAGCGGGAGTCTGTGCTTGGCTCTCCGCGCCTGGATGGAAGAGGAGGCACCGGGTGGCAGGGCTGCTGGCGGAGCCGAGCTCGGAGCAGTGTGGTGGGATTTACCGAGGGTGGGAGGGCCAGCCCTGCTTTTTCCTGCCTTCCGGGCTGTGGAGATAAGGCAGAGTGGGGATGAAGGATAGAATGGGTAATACTCTGAAACCACAAGAAAGGGTCCTGGTTTTCGTCTCTGCCCCACAGCCCAGACATGCTCCCGGGCGTCTGGGGGAAGGAGCCGCCCCACCCCCTTGGCTCTGGGGTCCCGCCCAGGAGAGCTCACAGCCCTCAGTGGGCTTGCTGGTCTTCCATTCATTCCCCTTCCCACCACCAATGTGCCCTCTTAATGAGACCTGGCACCTTTACACAGCCTGGGCAGGCAACAGGGCCGGCATGGCAGGCATCAGCCTTGAGGGCCTGGCCCAGCCTGGGCCCTGAGCAGACCAGTCCTAGGGCTACCCAGTGCCCACCCCTGAAATACACAATCACCAGGTCAAAAACACTGCCCCTTTATTATCATGCTGGGCAGCACTTGTTTTTACAAACGCATCTTTATAAAAGTGGGGGGATCTTTCTTACCAACGCCCAACAAGTAAACCAAGGGAGCTAGGTAGGGTCTCCATGGCATAGCTCTGGCCTGACCCCATGGAGGAGAATCCAAGCATTTGGTGGTTTCTGGTAGGACGTCTGCCCCTTGGAGGGGAGGACTCCACAGCATGTTGGGGAGGGGCGCAGGGGAGGAGGAAGGGGCTGCTGGAGCAGGGGAGACCTGAGCACCAGCTCCATTCAGCTTCCAGGCCCTGGTCAATGCCAGATGCTGGGTGCACGCCCCCTGGTGGTGGGAGGGGGAGTGAGGCCCCAAGTGGTCTGAGGAGATGTGAGCCACATGCGGCTCTTTGGCCCCTTGCGTGTGACTCTTCCTAAGCCTTAGGAGGACCCTAATTAAGTTAATAACAATGTACCTACCTCTATAGTTTAAGTTTAAAAAATTTGGCTCAAAAGAAATTTCAATCGTTGTACTGTTGATATTTGGCTCTGTTGACTAATGAGTTTGCCGACCACTGCCCTAAGTCACCAGATGCCCTGCTTCAACCCTGTCCTGCTCCCATTTTCCTGCCTTCCCCAGATGAGGAGCCAATGAAGCCAGTTCAGTCGGAGGGGCAAGAGTGACCCTCGGACGGAGTCTGAAGGAGGCAAGACGGAGTCCCTCCAGCCCAGCGTGTGGGGGAGGGGACCCACTGCATGGTAGGAAGAGTCAGTCCACCGGCTTTGATGCCCTCTCTCCGGGGCAGCCCGCCTTGTTCTAAGAGAAAAGACTCCGGGAGAGGCTGAGGACTCCAGCTGCTCTGCCCGCCCTGGGGACCGTCTGGAGCTCAGAGGCAGAGGTGTGTCTCTCTGGCATCGAGGCCAGGGTGGGGTGGGAGCAGCCGGGCACAGGGAAGGGGTGGCAGCTTGGTCTGCGTGTCCACACATCTGATCACGTGGTCCAGTTCAACAGGCTGGGCGGCTCCTTCGGCTTCACCCTGAGCGAGACGAGGCTTGGAGACTTGTAGTCGACATCCGGGGCGGCCTCAAAGCTGTGGTCCCCCAGGGCCGGGGAGAAGCTATGGAGGGAGTAGAGACCAGGGTGCGCTCCGGGGGAGGCCGGCACCCCCATGAAGCCAGCCACGTTCCCGTGCGAGTGGGAGTACGGAGACATGCACGGGGAGGGGATGCCCTCTGGAGACACGAGGCAGGGCCCGGTGGGGCTCCCAGATGCGGGGCTGGGCCACAGGGAGTTCTGCAGCTGCAAAGAGAAAGCAGGCCCGTGAGTCCGGAGTCCCGGGTCTGGCCTCTAACCGGGGCTCTCTCTCTGCCCTTAGGGCTCCGGACACTTCCCAAGAAGCCTCCACTTGGCACAGGTCTAGAATCTGCCACCCTCCTCCTCCTACACTCACAGAGGCATCTCAGGCCCTGGCACTGCTTCTCAAATGAGTTTTCCTCAGAGTCCTCTGTGCCAGCTGCTCTGTGCTGTCAGGGTGACGAGGGCCCCGCTGGCCGGCGGAAGACATGGTTTGCCCAAGTCCCACAGGCCCTGAGGCCACTCCAGGTCTCCCCAGGGCTAGAGCTCACACTCCTCACTGGCTACCCCACGGGACACGGTCACGTCCGACTCGGCAGGAGGGACGGGTGCGTCTCACCTGGGGGTGACTGTCCGTTCGGGGCAGCACAGAGATGTCATAGGCAGACGAGAAGGGGTTCCGCCCCTCCTGGATCTTCCCATAACGCTCCCGCTTCCGCCACTTGGCTCTGCGGTTCTGGAACCAGACCTGGGGGCAGAGGGGAGAGGCCGAGGGGGTGGAAGGGGCTGGGGGAGCTGATGGCTGTGTCCCACAGGGTGGCAGCTGGCTATCATTTATGTGTCGGCCTCTGGACTAGACGTTGGCAATGTCCAAACTGAGCCAAACCAAAGCCATTCCCCTGCTTTCTAGGGATCTAGCTGGGGCTGCAAACAGAGCAGCTGTGTGTGTGTGTGTGTGTGTGTGTGTGTGTCTGCGTCTCTGCATGTGCATGTGTGTCTCTGCGTGTGCGTGTGTGTGCTTGTGTGTCTCTGTGTGTGTCTGTGTCTGTGTGTGTGTCTGTGTCTCTGTGTGTGTGCGTGTGTCTCTGTGTGTGGGTCTGTGTGTGTGTCTGAGTCTGTCTATGTGCGTGTCTGTGTGCGTGTGTGTCTGTGTGTGTGTGTGTGTGCGCCTGTGTGTCTCTGTGTGTGTCTATGTCTCTGTGTGTGTGCGTGTGTCTCTGTGTGTGGGTCTGTGTGTGTGTCTGAGTCTGTCTATGTGCGTGTCTGTGTGCGTGTGTGTCTGTGTGTGTGTCTCTGTGTGTGTGTGCGCGTGTGTGCGCCCGCACACATGCGTGTATGAGTGTGTAAAAGTAACCTCACCCAAGCCCCTCATGCTCACCCCCATCATCCTACCCATGCAGGCAGGCCAGGCCCTGAGTTAAGAAGCCGGGCACATCCCACCCCCAACCTGGGGTTGCAGAGCCCCCACAGCAGGCCTGGGCAAGCTCAGGGAGGGCCGCCCACCTGCCAGCTCCCTGCCAGCTCCCAGCCTTCCTCTCTCCCGTCAGAGGAAGTACCCTACTCGAGGGCCTCAGTCATCGGGAAGCTGCTGGACTAGGTCTGGGGCCTTGTGGCTGCGCCCGCACCCCTCCAGGTTGAGAAGGCCAAGGAGAGGAAGGGTCCACGTCCCAGAGCAGCTCCGTGGGGTAGCTGGTCAGAGCCCAGCCCGGAGGCTGGCTGAGGCCTGGGAGGGAGACCTGCTGCTCTGACTTCATGCTTATGTAATCGGGGCTGTCGTGGCTGTTGGCCACCTCCCTCTGTGGCCCCAGGCCCTGGGGAACGTGGTGGACAGTTCCAGAAATCTGCTGTGGGAGGAACATGGAGGCAGGAGGACCCGGCACAGAAGGGGGGACAGCCCAAGCCCCTCTGGTCCTGTGTGGGAGCCAGCGGAGGGCCTTCTCTATTGGGCGGCACCGGCCTGACGGCCCCCATATCCTCCCAGAGCTGCCCCGCGCCAGTGATGTCACAGGCTCTAGAGAGGCCCCGCAGGGGTGACCGCGTGAGCTCTGCCCCTACGAAGTCTCCCGTTTAGACATCACCTCTGCGCCTTCCCACAGAAGCCCACCCCAGCCCTCTCCCAGGGCGTCCTGCTCGGCAGGGCAGCGACCTGCTGTGTCAGGCCAATTCCCAGCAAGGCCACAGCGGCCACCTCCTCCTGGGCCTGGCTCTCACAGAGCCTCCCATCCCATCACCACCCCTGCCTGCCACCTTCAAGTTCGTTCCCACGTCCAAAATGCCTTAGGCACTGACTTCCTGTCTCCCTCTCCCTTGTTTCTGGTCCCCCAACCCCACCCGCATCCCCACGGGCTGGGCTCCACGCTTGTGAAGCCGGCCACGGCCCCTCCAGAAGTCTGGGGCCTGACCCCTCTGGGAGGTTTGCTGGGTGGGGCAGGGCTCCTGGCCAGGGTCTGAGTGTTGGTAGGACTGAAAGTCACTGGCTCAGGATGGCTTTGGGTGTCACTGAGCCCGAGACGACCTCCTCCACCCCACCCCTTCCCACAGCCACCTCGGGAGCAGTGCTGATACGTGCTCAGCATCTCACTGCTTCCACAGGCTGCCCTTGGGGCTCCCTGAACTGGGAAACCGGAACCCAGACATTCAGTGGCATGTCCCCAATCACCCGGTCAGCTAGTGCGCGCAGAGGGGACTGCCACGCAGGGGCCACCACCCCCATACCCAGGCCTAAGCCTCAACTTGGGCTGCCAGCCTGTGGCCCCGGCAGAGCTGGGCATGGAGGGCGAGCCCACGAGGGCAGGCACCTGAGACAGGCAGTTCTGGGGGTGCTGGTGCCCGCCTCTCCCAGCCCTTCCATGGTCTGGCCCGCTGTCGGGTGCCCTCACCTGAACCCGGGCCTCGGTGAGGTCGGTGCGCAGAGCCAGCTGCTCCCGGGCGTACACGTCGGGGTAGTGGGTTTTCTGGAAGACCTTCTCCAGCTCCTCCAGCTGGAACGTGCTGAAGGTTGTGCGGTTGCGGCGCTTCTTGCTCTTATTCTTGGCCAACTCCATGGAGTCAGGGAGTCCCGGGGACAGGGGGACGCGCAGACTGGCCAGGCAAGGGCCCGGGGAGCCTCGCAAGGTGGAGGGCCCGTCTCTGGGGCCCCCGTGGCAGTCCAAGGGCAGCTGGGGGAAGCTGGCCGCCTTGGAGGCCTTCTCCTCGGCTGCAATGGAAACACAGAAAGGATGGAAACCGAACCAGGGGGTTTTGTGGGTGGAATGGAGGGAGGGGAAGACTGTTGACGCTTCAGTCCCCGCCTCCCCCTTCCTTTTTCCCTTCCTCAGGCAGCCACCCTCCATGGGAGCCTGGCAGGAGGAGGCATTCTGCTGAGCCTCCAGCTGGGGAGGGGGCCCAGGGGAACCGGGCTGTCTGTGGTCTGGGCGGATCTGCCAGGGCCAGAAGGGGTCCATTTCGGGGAAGCACTCTGGGGTGGCGCATCCCACAGGGTGGGGAGGTGCCAGGATTGGCGCCATGGCAGGGCCTGGCGCAGGGGGTGGGAGGAGGGGTTGAGGATGGGAGGGTGGACATCTATCTCCCTGCCCGAAAGTGCCTCCTGATCCCTTGTTCCCATGTCCTCATGCCCATGACACAGATGCTGACAACCTTTGCTGGTCTGGACCCTAAGTCTCAGGGCTAAGTCAAATCCCCTAGTCCTGGGGTATGAGGACAAGAGGGAGGCAAAGAAGCCTCCAGAGGTGTCATCTCATTCCTGCCCACATTGTGCTGTTTGGGCAAGAACGTAAAGTAAGCCCCAGCAACAGAGGCAGGAGGTAGGCTGTACGCAGAGAAAGGGAATGGGGCGACCAGTGTCCCAGTGTCGAAACAGGGCACAGCCCCCAACCCCATGTCCCCATCATAGCTTGCCCCCTCCCTCCTCAAGCAGGGGGACCTGAGTGGCGACTGGGAGGGTCCCCAGCAGCCCTACCCCAGGGCACTCCCCCTCCCCCTGGAAGCTTGGCAAGTCCTGCCAGGACCAGGGCACAGTGAGAAACAGGTCACCCCACTGCCCGCTCTCTCCCTCTGGCGAGGCCCCCAGCAGCGCCACTATGAGACCTCCATGCCACAAAGATGCCCCTCTGACTCACACGGCCCCTCCCCTGGCCCTCTGCCTGTCCCCAGCAGGGCCTTGCCCTGGAGGCCCAGCGAGCTGGCACCGAG